CAATTAACCAGCAAAAGCTTGTAGTAGAGGTATAGCTCAAGTGGAGAGCACCATCCCTGATCTGAAAAGTGAAACAAGAGTATGAGGTCCTGAGTTCAAGCTCTAGTACTGTCTCCTCCCAAAAAAGTAAAAGAAGGAGAAGAAGGAAAAGGGAGGAGGAGAAAGAGGAGGAAGAGGAGAAGGAGGAGGAGGAAGAAAGGAAGGGGAAAAGAAGAAGAAGGAGGAGGAGGAGAAGCAGGAGGAGGAAGAGGAGGAGAGAAGAGGGTGAGGAGGGGAAGGAGAAGGAGGAGGAGGACGAGGAGGAGGCGGCGGCAGTGGATAAGTTATTTAATTGACAATATACTATGTTCCTTTAGTTCACGGGTGATATTTGAAAAACAGTAATGCGAGGTATTTTCAGACAAATGAAGACTGTAGACTAATATTACGCTATGTCTCTCTTCAATGTGTCAGGTTGAGCTAAGAGTTTTCATTAAAAATACCATGAGAACTCAGCAGAAACAAATGTGCAACAGACCATAAATAAGTCAATGCACAATTTGCATACAGATGTGCTTCATTGTTTCTATACAGTGTTTAAGAAATTGAACCAACTTTCTAAAACCCTCAGGTATCACAGAAAAATTTACCATGTATGACTTACTTTGGACAATCAGAAGATTCCACAATCCTGGACCCACTAACAACAACGTTCACCTAAGTCTTAAAGACCATTGCTCCTAGGTAAGGCCTGGGCGTGAGTTCCCTACAGTTCTTCATTTCAGTTATACCAACACACTAAAGCCAACTGGAGCAAAAATTTTTCATGATAATCATGTTGTTTTTCCTATAAAAAAGAAATATTTTCCAAACTTACTTTTAATAGATAAATTCAATCTTTAATGACTAGGCTCAATCCATTACCCTTCCTTGTATCTACCCCCTTTAAAATGTTTTCCACTTGAGTAGAGAGAACTCCCTGACATAGACATGTGTTGTGTTTTGACCAATGAAGTGGAGAAGAAATCACAGTGTCAGTTCAAGGTCAGGTTTTACAACAATTGGCATGATTTCCTTTATTTTCTCCTGCCTCTGCTACTATCATGAAGAGAGTTTCCCTGGTTAGTGATGCCTCTATCCTCAGGATAACATGTGTGAAATAGAGCTGGTTTAACCACCCACAGTTATACAGTGAGTAATGAAGGACCAAAGCCAAGCCCACCTGGGGCAAGCTGAGCCACTCAGTCAAGCTGCAAAGCAGGGAGAACAATGTTTTACAGTGGGAATGTTTGACAGTAGTTGTCACAGGGCAATATCATGCCAACCATTAACTGATACGTCTCTAACAAAAATTTTTAAATAGTTAAACATAACCATTCATACAAACCTATTTATTATGTTTAATAGCCTAGACTTTGAAGGCAGTAGGGTTTGCAATAAAACATTAATTTAGGAAATATAGTCTGATCTGTGAAATGTTTCCTAGTATAATGTCTAGTTTAGACCAAGACAACCAACTTTTTCCCCCACTGCTATTGTGTGCCTTTTTAAACAATAAATAACTGTGTATTCAATGTTGTCTTCAATGATTAAAAATTACAGTTTTATAATTTTAAGTGGTTGCACAATAAGATTACCATTCAGCAAATCCGTTTATAACTACAATGCATCTTGATTGAAATCACCCCTTTCATTTTTCTCTCTCACTTCTCCTAACCCAGTCCCTCCCCTTGTTTTGTAAGAGATTCATTGGATATTATGACTGTGTTCTCTCTCCCCTTCCCCTTGACCTCTCCTCCACACCTTTCAGGAACCAGTTTCCAATTTCCATATCAACTAGCTTCATCTCTGAGCTCTCCTTTGTAGCCTGATTCAATAGTTATTATTGTTGCAGTCCTTGATAACTTTTCTGGATATAATATTTATTTAGTTAGGCAAAATCATGACTCTAGGGTATCCAATCATCACAAAACACAAGTGTATAATAAATCAAATTTAGCAGGTGCCAAACCTATGGCTACCACTCAAACAACCAAATCAAGTCAGGGTTTATACTTACAGCATTTAAACAACTAATATAAACAGAACATAGTTTAAAAATATAATATTAAAAACTGAAGGTCTCTGAAAGTTCTGCTTTCAGAAGGCAGCAATTGCTGCATACAAGAACATCTGCTTAAAAGTCTAGGCAAGTAGGAGGTTCACACTCGATTAACCTTAATCAGAGACATTTTCATCAAAATTAATTGTGACTACTTTTTATTGCATTTCAAATGTTATCCTTTATTTGGGGTGGTCAGGAATGCAGCTAAGCAATTCCAGATCGTGCTATCTTTTATGAATAAGTCTGAAGTAGTTATTAAGGCTCTAAGAAAATATTGCTATATGAAAGTTCATCAGGCAAAAACAAGACATCAATTTCTATAATTAGATATGTCTTTAGGAAACAAGTTGTTATATATAGAATAGAGAAAAACATTGATGCTCAATGAATTATCAGAGTATAGCTATGTAAATATCCTCCATGTAAGAGACAGTAAATGTTCCTTTTACTGATTTTCTTTTGTTATGTCAATAGTTAATCATTAACACTTATTCTGAGCATAGCCTAAATTCTAAATTCCTTATGTATATTGACTTTTTAGCCTCACAACAACTCTAGTATGTCAATTATCATTCCTGCTTAACAGATAAGGAAACTGAGGCTTAAGGAGGGTAAGTAATCTTCTCAAGGATGCTTGGTTAGTAAAATTTGAAGCTTTTGTAATGAAAACCAGGCACTGGAGTCTGGAGTCAGTTAAACAAAGATAACAACATTTACCTCATTGAAGACTGCTACAATAATCACTTGCTTTATTATGTTTTTTGCCCTGACTTTACCTTTCTCTACTAACCTCTGTTCCTTTTCTAACAATTTTATCACCTGAAGGACCATCCCTATGGCCCTTTAGTAAAATGAGCTCAGAATCTACCTGCTCTGTGACAAGTCTCTGCCATCCACAGATTCCCCACACTTTCAATCCTTCAGTATTCTCATCACCTAAGTGATAGACAGAGCCAGGCTGAAGTCCTGCTACCTGCCAGTTAAGTAATATTGGGCAAGTTGGTCAATCTCTCAGAGCCTCCTTCTTTTATAGCAAATAGTGTATATTAGTGCATCTATCCCATGCAATAGCTATATCTTTTCATAACCCCTCCAGATTTCTTTCTTGTGGGATATCATCTGTTCACACTCAGTCCATGAGATGTAAGTGAGGCTGATACCTTCCCAGGGGCTTCATGATTACATAGCCTGGCCAATGAATACATTTGATTCTTGAATATTTGTCAGAACTACTATGTAAAGACACTGTCCTCTCCTGGTAACTACCATTTGTAAACAGCTTTTCTGAAAACCCAGGAAACATAGAAAACAGTATCCCTGCAGGTAGGTAATGAATCCCTGGTATCACTGTTAGATTAAAGTAGCTACTTTAATCTACAGATTTTTTCCTTTCCTTTTTTCTTTCTTTTTTGCATGAGTCAGATTGAGTTACTATCCTTTCATGTGCATGTAGTCCTAACTAGCTCAGGAGAGCTCTGGGAATAACAACCATTCTATGGTTGGTATAGTACAGTGCCCACCATATTGAAACATTCAATGAATGGTATCAAGCATGTCTTGTTACACATAAGTTTCTTAAATATAAGGCCTGTAGTCAAGTCTATCTCCACCTTTATTAGGATCACACTCCATAATCTTTCTGAGACTCAACTTGTATCAAATGTAAAATCACCAACACTGTTACAAAGAATAAAGAGAAATATATTTCTGGAAAAAAGCCCTCTGTTCTGCAAATCTGTGATTATTATTGCTATTGTTAGCATAAATCTAAGGTCTGTGATGGATGGAGAATTAAGACTCCAAACCCTGGACATGATTTGACCACCACATTGGGGAAATAAGGAACTTGACAAAGTTATACTACTTGCTGTGGAGGTCCAGACTCAGTATAAGATCTGATTCTACAATTGTGTTATTCACTGAAAACTCCAAATCAATCATCTATGTAAAGGGAGCTTTGCAGACAGAATCAAAAGGCATGTTGAAGGTACAGAAGAAAAAGAAACCAACAGGAACGGAGTAGCTTCCATCCATGATCTTCTGTGCAATGTGCTTGCCTTGTATTTCCTACTCTGCAATAATTATTTTGTTCTCTTTTGGTCAATTAAAAAGATGTACTATGGGTACATACTGAAATTATCTAACTACTTATATCTCCAAGGAGGAAACCTAATATATAACCAGAGAAAGACACTAGCTAATAAGCAAAATTTAATATGAACTTCATCCAAGTTGAACTTAAAATTATCTGTTTAAAGGCACACTGGAATAAATAAAGGAACTTCAAAGTAAATGCCCTGCTTTAGCATGAATGTTTTATTGAGCAAATGGGGAGAGTGCCTTTGCCAAAAATACAAATGTTTAATGAGGAAAACTGGTGTTTTAGTCATTCATTTGGTTTCTGAGAGACAGCAGGAGATGTCATTGAGAGATAACTATGGTCATGAAAAGAAAGAATAATGATCTGACTCAGAGGCTCAGAATTTTGAACAACTTTTGTAAACTGTCTGAAATCAGAAGAAATACTTTTCCAAATACCTTTTGTGATAATGCACAAGCATTTCTCTTCTATGCACCCCCAAGCAATTTCAATATAAATTAAAAAGGATGATATTTATGTGTGTTAAGCTTTTTGCCAACTATAGAATTGTAACTCTTACCTTTTAAGGTGAGGTATAGGAACCAAGAAACTGTTTGGCATTTCTAGGCACTGCCACAATCAGCTTCTCTTTGGCACCATTTAAAATAAAATGCTTTCATGCTCAAGAAGGCCTACTCTTACTCCCTTTACTTTCCTTTGTTAAACTCAGGGAAAAGTTAAATCCACTATTTCTGTGGATACCTTCTTGCAGCAATGGCAAATTTTGGAGAGTTAATGTCCAATTACTTAGGGATTAAGAAGGTAAACCTCACTCACCTGCAAATGCTGTGAATTGTCAGCCATGCTATCTTCTCGCCTGCGGACTTCTTCCAACAGCTGGGCATTCTTCTTCTTTTCCAGCTGTTGATTGTGCTTGAGGTTGGCCACCTTCTTATTCTGATCTTTCATATGCCTGAGGAAAGCCAGCATAGCTTGATTACATTCCACCACTGGATAAAGCATATATTGTCACAACTGATTTAAGAAGTACTAAGCATAGACTATCTTGACATGGGCTCAGGAAAACATGGGGACCTCAAAATATTCCACTCACCAACAAGTATATATCAAGATCCCACCGAATGTCAAGTGTTAGGACGGTACTAGGGTTCAGTTGTGAATGAGACAGGTATAGTCTTCCTTGTCTTGAAGCATAGAGTCCAGTGGGAACACAGACAAGTGCCAAGGAACTCAATTAATGTTGAAGGAAATTAACAGCATTCCATGGGAGATGAAGAGATGCACATGTGGAGAAGTGGTAGGATAGGTGGAAATGGCTTTAGACACGGAGGCCAAGGAAGGCCTTCCTAGGTTAAGACCCAGAGAAACTAATCAGGAGAAATGCAAGTGGAGGAATGTCCCAGGGAGAGCAAAAACTACATGTAATTCCCAAGGCAGGGAAGGTGCTGGCTACTTCAGCAAAATAAAAGGCTGCTGTAGGTTTAATGCAAGTGGGGTAAGAGATAGAACCACAAATGTAGGTAGGCCAAGAGCCTACCTACATAGAGCCCTGTGGTTCCTAAAGGGACATTTATTTTCTTCTAAGTGGTGGCTGTACTAATTATTATTATTCCTTTGGATCATGTTCTTGGATTTAAAAATAACAATTACAAAGCTCCAATCAAATACAGTGTCAACACTTAGTTCAAACAGAATAACGATTTGGCAAATCAAAGTGTTAAATCAAGCCCCCAGTATTTAGAGTAAAAGTTCTTAATGAATCTATAGGATGTCAAAGTGCAAAATCATAAAGTGATCAGAGAGTAAAGGACTAAGGATAAAGGACGGGTTAAAATAAAAAACAGGAGTTACAGACTTAATGTGGACTATTTAACAGCAGCGTTTAGCAAAACATTCCACAGACTTAGGCAACCATGTCCACAGCAGCTGTTATAAATCTAATCTAACACGTGGGCAGAGCAGGGGCTCGGTAGCAGCAACTCCAAAAAAGAGGAGGCTGAGGAGCACATCCCATTAGAATAGGGTCCATCCTAATTCTTTTGGCCCCTCTGAGCAGCCCTGCTGCATCAGCCACTGTGACTGAGCCCCCAGGATAAGCACCCTGAGAAGTATAAACAATATGAGAACTAAATGATAAACAGCAAGCATGCCAAATTGAAAGTCAAAAAGCAAATAAAACAGCTTTCCATGAGGAACTCCTCTTTTCTCATTTTCATGGAATCATGTGCTTTCCTATTTCTACCAACCAACAAAATAAAGTTCAAGGTAATGATTGAATAAGCAGAATAATTTGCTATTTGGGACCCTGATAATTAAAAGGCTCTCAACACTTGGGCTCCTTCTGACTGTTTCCAGTCATAAAACATTTAAGTATTCTGGAACTTAGAAAATTATGGGCAAAATTGAATAACCATATCATCATTGTTTAGATTGGACAATTTTGTCTATTTTCCAGTTTTTTAATCCATCACTAACATACTTACATAACTAGTATATGTCTGAGACAAACAGAAACTGTTAGACAAGTTGATGTAAGGTGAAATGAACCCCAAGATAAGGATTCAATTGTTTTTCTTGAGATTGTTTCCAACATACTTATAAGATGATTTCTTTGTTGCTTTGTATGTACCTCCCCCAGGGTATAAGCCCTGTTTTCACTGTATTTGATGCTGATATAATTTGTGGAGGGGAAGGGAAAAAACAAACTGTTTAAATAGGGTCACAGGTGGACCCATTACAACAATGAGATGTACCAGACGTTATGTTGAAAAACGAACTTTACAACTTTGGCGGAGTGGGGGGTGGTGGTGGTGGTAGGGGGGGTATGGAGGATGGGGGGTGGAGAGGGGAAGGGATGGTATGGGGAAACAAAGGAGGAGGCAACAATGCTTGATAAGAAACGTACTCACTATCTTGCCCATGTAATTGTAACTCCTCTGTATGGTATTTTCACACACACACACAAACAGAAAAAAAACACTGCCAACTAAAGTCTAAATTCAGGTTTACTTTTAGAAAAGTAACTTTTCATTACTCCAAAGGTATCAGGAATGACTCTCGACTCCTAATAGAACAAGGACGGTATATGTAAAGCTCATATGGACCCAGGGCACATTTTTCCAATTACTCTCAAATAGGATATGTGATGGAGAGGTCACTGAAAGTAGTGAGATTGCCTATACCATTAAGTAGAACCAAATGCTAAATGTTTTCACCCCCAGTGATAACTAAAGTAGATTATGATTACAAACATCATTTGCATAAACAACTCTGGCAAAGTTCTCAGAGCAGTCTCAACATTCTTGACTTTCAGGGATACTACAGTATTCTTTCAGTCTGAAAAGAAAAGGTTGAGTTCTAAGTTCACATGTCCCTAAAGCTTTCCTATATTTAAAATGAGGCTTTGAAAAATGGAGAACTGAAGTTCTGATGCTGTAATGGAGGCCCGTGTTCAGCGTGTTTCAAACTTACTTAAGAATAACAGCCATTGGAGATAAACTGCTTAGGATGGGGCCAATTAGATAAAAATGCCTCCAAAGTATAAATTAAGTAATATAATTAATCATGGGGAGAAAGTAGGTAGAAAATAAAATGGTAAGGTCAGTTTTCAATATGCCACTTAACCAGTTTCAAAAAGCAATGTCATAAAGCAAGTCACATTGCTTTTCAAAATTCAGCAGCTGTTAAGGAAAATAAACAAAAAAATTGTAAAAGGTATTAATTTGCAACGGTGGCCCACAAAGGCCACTATATTTAACGAGAATAGAATTCTGCTATTTTTATTAGAATACACTGTCAAAATAGAATCCGAGTGTTTGTTAACTAGCTGGTGAGAACAAGTCAAGCGTCCAGATTGACATAGCTGGGGAGTAGTTGGATACCCATGTCCCTGTAAGGCATATGTGTATTTGTACATACAGGAGAATATCAAAACTTCTTTGAAAATCTCAGCAGAAAGGATATGCTTCTTTGTACTAGGTACTCTCAAACATTTTAGAAGACTGACAATACTCTCCTATGTGGTCAGGATGGGTAATTCACAAAAGGAGTTCAGGAAGTCAGTTTGGCTGTAGCCACCACATGGTACATAACCTTTTTCCAGGCCAATCTTTGTTATACAGGAAAGAAGCCTACACACATGTGCACACATGTATAATGAAACCATTTTCATTATAACTATAGGAAGGAAAATGTGAAAACTGTTCAATTGTCCACCAGAAATAAATGACTATAGATAGTAAGTTTCTTTAGAATAAGGAATCAAACTAGCTAAAAAGATTAAGGCAAAATGTAAAGCCCTCAAGGCATGTAGCTAATTGAAAAAGAAAACAGGTAGCAGACTAACACATACTGTCCTTATTAATGTTGAAATTTTAAATATACACATATGTAACTGGAAAATTCTGGAAACTTCATACCATCTATAAACAATGTTTACCATTGGGAAACATTTCGGAATAAGATTAGGAAAAATGAGACAAATTTAACTGTATATTTAATCAAGGTAAAATATATACAACAAAACACATTACTACTAAGTGCCCACTAATTTCTGACCTATCAATATACAGAGCACTGCCTTCACCTAGTGTCAGAAGCAATCACTATTCTTTTGTCTATGTGGATTTGTTTTGCTTATTCTTGAACTTCATATACATGGAATCATATACTCTTGTGTCTGGCTTCTTTCACCCAGTATAAAGTGACTGAGATTCACTCCTATTGTGTCAGTTCATTCTTTCTTATTGAGGAATCATATTCATTATAAATACTACCACAGTTTGATTGGTCATTCCCTTGTTAATGAATAGTTGGGTTACTTGAATAGTTATATTGTTATAAATAGGAAATATTTTTTCATTTATGTATTTATTTAATTTTTAGTGCGGGTACTGGCTCTCTTTTTAATCTTTATTGAAAAGGTGATGAACAGAGGGGTTACAGTTACATAAGTAAGGTAATGAGTACATTTCTTTTCAAACACTGTGACCCCATCCTTCATTTTCTCCCACTTACCCCTCCCTACATACCTCCCCCCAAATTGTAAAGTTCATTTCCAACCTAGTGTCAGGTGAATATCAATGTTGCATTAGTTCATCCTTTTTCCTGCTGTTTCTGTGATTCACTTTCCCTTCTACAGATTGAATAAACTTAGACACAAGGCACAAGGTACAGAAAACTAAGAGAGAAAAAAAGAAATAACTACATACAGGACGTAATAAGAACCTCTTGTTTCCAATTCTTGGAGTTAAATGTTGACATGCTTCATTATATATGGTCCTATGCACTGAGAAATTGGGTTATTGAGATCCCCCTGTTAAGAATATCATAGACACATTCTAGTTATTACAAGTAAGAGAAACCATGCAGCCTACTTTTTTTAGGTCTGGCTTACTTCATTTAATATAATTTTTTCCAGGTCTATGCATTTCCTTACAAAAGAGGCAATGTCATTCTTTCTGATGGAAGAATAGAACACTATTGTGTAAATATACCACATCTTCTTGATCCATTCATCTACTGAGGGGCATCTGGGTTAGTTCCATATCTTAGCTATGGTAAATAATGGTGCAATAAACATAGTTGTGTTCATAGATTCAGTATATGGCCTTATTATTTGTGATCTTGGGGTAAATGCCCAGAAATGGGATTGGTAGGTCACAGGGGAGCTCTATGTTTAGTTTCTGAAGAACCTCCACACTGCTTTCCAGGGTGGTACTCCCACCAGCAGTGTAGTAGAATTCCCTCTGTCCCATCCCTGCCAGAATCTGTTATTAGATTTCATGATAATGGCCATTCTAACTGGGGTGAGGTAAAAATCTCAATGTTGTTTTGATTTGCATTTCTTTTTTTAATTTTAATTTTTATGAACATATTGTACAGAGGGGTTACAATTACATGGGCAAGATAATGAGTACATTTCATATCAAGCATTGCAGCCTCCTCCTTTGT